TTTCCTCCATACCCAAATCTCTAAAAAAGGGGCTGCAACGGATCTGATAAAAACTGATCCAGATTTGAATACTGTCCTGACGTCAGGACGGTGGCGCTACGGCTATTGGGCCAACTCCACCAATCAGGAGGAGACAGCCACGGCCATTGCCGTTCGAAAGCGCTGGAGACGCTGTAGTACATATGCCAGGCCAGTAGGTGGTGCTGTTCTCACAGAATCAGCTAACATCTTTCAAATTGAGCGAAATGAGGCATGGCTAAAATGCATGATCTGTTTGGTATTTTGAAAAAAAAAAAGTATAAATATGCCTTATATAGGTATGGTCCTACACTATATTATTATAATATAGCATGATAGGTCCACTTTAAAGCATTTGAAAGAGACACAGTGCAGAAAATGGCTGATTACAGGTTAATTTAAAATACATGGATCCATGTAGCGAGATTTCATCAGGGATCCAGCTTCATTGATCCATCCATTGAGTTACATTCACTTTTTTGAGGTGCATGGCAGCATCCAAAATATTTAATATATCCATTTATTGAGTTTATTTTACTTAAAAAGCACTGTCCAAGAAAACAAGTAATATGTGGAGTTTGTTGAATAAAATCCTGGAAATAATAAAGGTTTTTTTGTTTTGTTTATTAGATTTAATAATAGATCAATCAAGGCAATAATCAACAGATTAATATATGAATACAAAAATCCGTTAGCTGCAGGGAAGCATCCTTAGGGTTACATTTCCCTCAAAGCATGTGAGACTTGATTATCCTCATCTTTTCCCTTCTTAAACGTCTCTCTCCTGCCCCGCCATCTCTTCAGAAACGCTCCAAGCAGCGCAAGCTCCAGCAGAAGGCTCTGAGGAAGCGGCAGCTGAAGGAGCAGCGCCAGGCCCGCAAGGAGCACCTGAGCGGACTGTTCTTGAACGAGGAGGTGCTGGCGCTGCGGGTGACGGAGGAGGACGACCGCGGGGACGACCTGGACATACTGATGTGACACCAGTGAACCAATCAGTGCTCCCTCTACGCCTGCTGCCTCAGCTCCACCCAGCCACAGATCACCGCATGCATCCGCTTTCAGTAGGCTTCAATTATGCAGAGTAATGTAATGAGCAGTAATAGTAGCCTAGCTTGATTCCGCTAGTGCTAAAGCTGATAGCCGCTGCAGCAATAATGCTAAAGTACTGCTAATGCTTCGATTAGGCAATTATGACATTAGGCTTTGATGACATTCAGTTTGACTCTACACTTGGTTTGGATTGCTTATAGATGCTTCATCAGGGTATACGCACTGCTACTAATACAGCTACCCCCCACAGAATGACAGATCACGGAAGAGAAGAGTTTGGCTACATTGTGCATTATGCTGCTACGGAAAAACATAACATAACTATGTGCAAGGTGGCAGTATTTGAGCTAATTTGGAAAAAATATGTCCATACTCAACAGTTATCAGCACTGGTAGAGTTTGGTTGATTTCCAATTAACAAGCTTAAACTGGTTTGATTTGATGTAAACTGCCTAAACCGGATTGAGCATTTAGGCACATCACAGCACTAATGCTCGCGTCTCTATATCTAGATTGGTTGCGATATCTTGTATTCTCGTATCAAAACAGACGGGGTAACAACGCGTAGACACTGAAAGAAAAGTAATGTGCGGCTGCTGCGTCAAGTGTGACCCCTAGTGGTCAAATCTGGAATAGCCGTCATATCCGAATATTAGCTAAATGTCCAACTGGTTTGAAAACATTGACATCTGTCCAACCCTAACCAACCTCTGTTGATGTGCAGATCGGGTTTTAACTGCTGAAGGTAATGTTACAGCATGTTTAAGAACCCAAGGGCTTCCGTCAAAGTATTGTGAGTGCGAAGTGTCCGTACCGTCAATATGAAAACACAAAATCTTGAGATTGAAACATTGCATTGGTGAGCATTTTTAAGCAGTCTAAATGACAATTCATTTTCATGGGTGAATCTTCTGTCGTTCTACCTGCTGGGTTTCTACTCTGAAGGCTTAGAGGGAGCACTGAATCTGCATGTCTAACACCGTCACCCACACCCAGCCCCCCCGTGGTCCAACAACGAACCAACCTGCTTCATTATGTGCATACGAACCTGTTTAAAAAATAGCTTAAGTGTTGTAAATAAATGATAAATAACAGCATATTTACCTACTGCTTCTTTGCAGGTTGTTTCTTGGTGATGAATGTTTGATTTCTAGTTTTATTTCCCCTTCCATGTGTGTATATACAGTATAGTATGACACGGTAGAAATTGGTCTCCTAGCTTAAATGCTACTCTGGTTCTTCTCTATGTTTTTGAGTCTTATTTTGAAGCATTTATCCGTTTTGTCACTTGAGTTTGGTCATTGTCTCAGACATCTTCGTTTCTCTGCCAGCACTCCTACTGTATTTCACCTGAGACCGACCTTGATAGTTCTAGATTTGCTATTATTTACTTATCATTTGACCACCACGATAACTTTGAAGCGTTTGAGGATTGAGGTGAAGTCTTACGAGAAGTTTTTACAGATCATGTCTGCCCACGTACTGAATGGCTGGTTTGGTTTCGGCGCTGACCTTGAGCTGGTTTCTTGAGCATGTGCATCTAACGTTAAGCCATTTACTTTCAATACTGAGACTACAAGAAAAGCACTAACACCTCAGATTTCTGTGGAGCTACCCTGCAGTTTCCATATTTGCTAGGAGTAGCAACCAGAGATTGTTTCTTTTGTATGTGTTTCCCCCCCCTTTGTTTACACTCTCCTGCAGAAATTGGCCTAAAAGCCTTCCGTTATTTCTTATACTTTACGTGTACTGAGCTATGGCTCTCGTCTCTGTCTCATGTATAAAGTTATTATTATAGCAATTATGTTAAATGCCGCTTTATGTATTCTGTAGGTATGAATTAGCAAAACTCTATTTTGAAAAATAAGATAATTTTGAAAAAAATGTAAAATAAGCCTGTGTGATGCAACAAAGTTATTTGTGTATATAAGGTACCATGTCATTGCTGATACTGAATGACATTGGACTGATTAAATAATGATTAAAAAAAAGGTTTTGTGCAAAGGAAACTTTTTGTTTTTCCTCAGTGTCATCGTTATGATTTTACATGTTCAGATATGAACCATCAGCTGCAATTAGACTTTTTTTCATGTATTGATTGACTGTAAACTTGACAAATAAACTTACACTGTTGCATCCTACTGTTCTCGTCAGTGATGGTATTTTATTAGTTAGCTATTATTATTATTTTAAGTATGGATGTGTTATTTTATTACATTTACAATAAATCTGAAATATATATATATTCTTCATTTTTATTGATTTATTGATTAGGAAGTTGTTTCACTGCTTACTAATATTGTGCAGGATGTCTTCTATTCACAGGTGGAGTTGATTTACAATAGTTTAATGTTAAATCATTCTACACCTGTCTTGGATGAGAGCAGGTTGTGCTGACTCATCTATTCAAACTATTTGTAATAATCTTGGCAAATTATTTTTAACGGACATTATGACCGTGGAGATTTAAAGCTCACCTATTATGCTATATTTGAACAATATATTATAGGGCCATATCTGTACAAAACAAGTGTTTAGCTCAAAATACCAAACAGATCACCCATTGTAGCATGCCTCATACCCCTATATTGCAGCCCTGTTACTAAAGTGCTGATTCTGGGTCAGTAGCTTAAAATGTAACCCGAGCTGCTGCTGGCCACGCCCCTTTCCGCATGCAAGCAGTGAGCTCTGTGAAGAGAAGGTTGACAACTCCAAATGCTACCGTGATTAAATGCCATATTATGTTCCAAACCACATCAAGGATTATTTCTGAAACAGTATGGAGATCAAATGCTTTTTCTCTTGCAGGAGTACCTTTTTTTATACGGCTTTTTTACACATACTCTCCAGTACAGCATTAGCTCTGAGTGTTAGCGATGCTTGCTAATGTAAACACAGACCGTATTAAAACACGTCACGCATTGTTTCTGATACAGCTACGTTTCTGATAGTGCCGTGGGCGTAAAGCCAGCCCACATTTTCAATATTAATATCGGCAGCAAATCTGGATCAGCTCCGTTGTACCCCCGTTTTTAGAGATGTGGGTAAGGAGGAAAAGAGAGAAGGTTTTGTTTTCTGACACTTTGTGAGTCTCCTTACACACCGGGGACACACATTTATGTATAAAGACATCAAAAAGTGCATTTTACATAATAGGTGACCTTTACATTTGCCGTATTTCTGCAGATTATTCCGGTCTAGTAAATTGCGGCTAATGAGAACTGATAAAAGTGTATGTGGACAAATGGCTTTGTTCCTCTTAATATCTCCCAAATCAATAATATTTGCTGAATATAAGTTAACTTTTAAGGGCTTTGAACATCAATTTTAAATGAGTGGACTCAACAAGACTCTACTAGCTATTAAGAACATAATGCTGAACCTTGCTGAAGTGCTTTGAGTTATGTTTGTTACACCTTTCTGCTGAACCTAAAGTAAAAGTGATTCAAACGTTACAACGGTCCACTGCGGACAAAGAAGCAGAGAAGTCCAATTTGAAATGGCTTGTTTTAAAAGACACTGTAGGCATTCTTAATTTCTCCTATATTCTTAATAAAAATAATGAATCATATTTGCATAACATTTTGCATTTTTATAAAGTTAAGTAACACCACATCAAGATTAGTTGACATAAGGCTGACATATAGTGGCAGAAATACACTTATATATCACTTGTAATAATATAACTTGTATATCTTTGTCTTTTTACTTTTTATTTTTATTTGGGAAGAAACCGGAGCACCCGGAGTAAACCCTGACGTCGGTACACGAAGCGGACAGGAGGATCCCTTTGAACGTCGGAAAAGGGAATTCACTTCACCTTTCCCTCGCTGAGGAATTTGGAGATCTTGTGGTCATCCTGCCTGTTGTCGTGTTGACGTCTTCCAGACAACCTCTGGTCTTTCACAGATATCAGGAGTCAAGAACCTTCGTCATCCATTTTCATATTCGTCTGAGTCTTCCTCGCTGGGGATGCTTCCCGAGTCTTCATTGTTGGTGACTGCAGTGTGGTCTTCTCTCCTGAAGCCAGTTGGGACCTCAATACCATGAAGAGGCTCCTCGGCACCAATATCTGGGCTGTCTGACTCATCAGCGGAGGAGTCTATTGGCTCAAACTCGACGCTGATAGTCTCAGATGGATTTGGTCCGGGACAGCCCGTGTCATTGCTGGAGCTCTCAGTGCTGGAGACTGCATCCCCTGAGTCAATGGACTCCTTGTCAGCTTCAGCTTCACTGTGAGGACGTTCTCTCACTTGACTTGGTTCAGCCACTGACATGTTGTTGCAGGGAGGTTCAGTGTGGTGCTGCTGAGGGGTGGAGTCATAACTGGACCTCTCAGTATTTACATTTTCAGCACCTAAATTCTTGGATGGCTCTCTTGGTAAACCAATCTTGCGAGGTGGTGGTGGAAGGCCAAATATTGGTGCTGTAAGTTGTCCATCATAAACGAAACAACTCGGGTGAAATCAAAAGCACTTAAAGCCCTGCTTGTCCTGCAAGCTGTGTCTGGAGTTTCAGGGTCCCTGAGAGGATTATCACCTGTATCAGCCAGGGTGCAGACAGCCATCAACTCAAAGGCATTCACTGCGTAAGAGTTTAAGTCTATTTCCTCCTCGAGGTTTACCATAGTGATGAAGGGGTGCCTAAGTGCTTGCTTAGGGGTGAATCTTGACCCAGCATCTGGATTGAGCAGCAAATGTATAATGTCTGAAAATGCCATCCTGTCGTGATACGCAACAACGTCTTCGTCATATGAGAAAACCTCTACTGCTCTCTTCAGGTTTTTATAAGGTTCAAAAATCGTGTCTGAAGGCTCAGGTATTTCCCCGGTTGCGGCGCTGTACTCTTCTGGCGTTTTCAGCCTCCATGTCGGACCATTTTTGCCCTGTATCCTGTTAAAATACTTTCTGGTGTACATCGCATTATTAAGGAGATGGTCTCCTGGCTGACCAACTAGATGGCAAAGAGCTTTGATTGTGTTGTAAGTTGAGCCTCCAGGGAAGAGCCAGTTTTGAAAATACATATCCCCTAGAACGCATCCTAGTCCCCACATGTCAACGGCTGCAGAAATGGGGAGGCCCAAGTTCACCTCTGGAGCTCTGAAAGGCACAGGCTGCATCAACATTCCTAATGTTGTCTCTGAGGCTGGCATGGCCAAACCGAAATCTATTAATTTAACCTTGAAGGGCTGATCCTGATGATCGACGAGCATGATGTTGTCTGATTTCAGGTCAGTGTGAATTATACCAATTCCCCTCAGGGCCTCAAAAGCTACAAGTAGCTGCTGAGCGACAGGGCGGATTTTGTTCAGGGAAAATGGCTTTCCTTTTCTCTCCTTTATAAGGTCCCAAAGGCTCCTATCTAGCATTTCAAAGGCAAGGAAGGAGTGGTCTTCAAACATGAATGTCTCTAGATTCTTCTTTTCTGAGTCAAGTTTCTTGATGGCTGTAAGCATGGTCAATTCTCTACTTAGATCTTCGTTGTCATTTAGGACCTTGATGGCCGTTGTCTCAGATGTGTTTAGATTTACACATTTGGCCACTGTCCCAAAACAGCCTTCTCCAACAGATGCAATCACCATGTAGCGTTCAGGCAGGCTGGAGACTATTTGGAAGTCTTGTTCCTGAAATGTTGCAGGCACCAGGTCATCATCTAATATTGTGACAGGCATTTTAATCTGCTTAAAACTTGTCCAAATATTTGTTTTACACAAACGTTCTGCAATGTGTTCAATATGTGGGTTAAATGTATAGTTTTTGACTTGTTCTGTACAGAGATTGCTATGCATTGAATATAATATGAAATGACCATAACATATGTGAGGGGTTGTGGGTTAAATCAGATAATAGGTCCTTTAAGGAAACATTTTGGGAACTATTGTCTTAACCGATAATGTCAACTTGAATTCAAATCTACATTGTCATACATTTGTCTACTTTTGGCCATTGTATTTTATTTCTTAATTATGTAACCTCATTTTACTTTTTTAAACTTTTTTGTTAGTAGCCTATTTGTCTCTCAATTTTTCCTTCTCATTAACTGGATATTAAGCTCTTTTTTTGTTTGTCCAAATAATGACACGAGAGACAGTGTTAAAAGCCATTTTGAGCCTCCTGTGTAGCCTAATCGTTATCCTCATCTTCCGTAATATTTTCAGACATGTTTTCAATACTCAGTTGTGTGCAGGAATAAGATACCCCAAATTATCGTTGCACGTGAACGTATACTCCTCAAGGCCGTCGTCTTCCTCCTCAGCACTGCCTCCGTCTGCCTCGGTCCTGAAAAGAAGAACTTCTTCCCTCTCGTCCTCGTGTTCTTCGATTTTTGAAGATGGGCTTTGTTCAGCTGGGGGCGCTTGCCCCTCCAAATATAAGATGATATAACTGAGTCTAATAGTCATCTTTATAGATTTAATATAGCCTACCAGGGACGGGAGACCACTGCGCCAGACGCTGTTTCGCCTGATTTAACAAAGAGTGAACGTTTTCTTTATAAAGTAACTTATGTTTTCTTGTGACTGTAATGCCGAAGTAAGTTATCGATCTTCCACCACCTTAACAGAAAGGGTGGTATATTCCAACGCAAGTGCCTCACTATTAACAGCCAAGCCAGTTCCCTCTTAAGCAAATTCAGCTCAAACCCTGAAAACCGATTGAATTAGGTGAGTACCGACAGCATGGCAAGCAAAGAAGTAGCTGGATTCAATATGAAAAGTAAGAGATCGTCTGCATAAAGGGACAAAGTGCCATCTCAGTACATCATCCAGCAGCTCCATTACTTTAAAGGGAAACAGACATAAAACCACTGGAATAACAATGTCACTTAATTGGGAGTATACCCTTAAAAGGAACGGAGAACAGTGCTGCTTCCCATTGTTGAATTACTTATGTGACTTAAAGTGCACAACATAAAAGGAACATAAAGTAGTCACTCAGAGAGTAAGCATAAAGTACACCACACACCCTTATTAAGATGTTAATATTTTTGCTGGATTTGAGTGGTGAAGGAATACTTACATGGCCACAGTCCGGCTAACAGTAAACTATCTGCAGCAGCAAGGGCAAACAGCCACAATTGTTTTGTCCGACGGGGAGGTCGTCAATGCATTTCCTCTCTTCAGCTTCGGAACTGAGCCACTTTTTTATCTCGGTTGGAAAGAGTGATGTGGAGCCGTGCAGGGTACAACAGGGATGGCTCCAGACCCCGTTTGTACAGCCCCCACTGTCACAGGTCGCTGGCTTGGGACTTCGGGGCCGTAGTCCCTGCTGGCCGCGTTAGTCGAGCTTCACGGACCAGGAGATTTAGTCTGATAGCGGTGCAGGCGAAGAATGACTGGACGTGGTCTCTGGTTACGCAGCTCGAGGGTTGTGGGCTCTGTCTCACTCCGCCGGTGTCGGGAGCGTTTCTTTTCCAAAGACTTCACTGAGTAGAGCGGAGAAGAACTCTGTAGGGCGCCCAGCTTCGGTAGGCAGACCGAGGAAGCATACGTTTTGACGCCTGCTCCGACCTTCCAGCTCATTGACTTTAGCAGTGAGCTTGGATTTGTTGTCCAGAAGGCTGGAGCAGACATCTTCCACCTCATTAACACGCTGGCTCAGGTCATCAGAAGCGAACTTGATAGATGCTAGACGTTAACCGTGATCCTCAACTGTGAACGGGACTTGGTCAAATTAAGTTTTGAATAGGCTAAAATAAGTTTTGAAATCTGCTGCAAACGCCTCCTGATGCTCGTCCAGTATCAAAGGGATGGCCTCAACTGTTAAAGGGGACCTATCATGCAAAATGCACTTTTGTACGTCTTTTATACATGAATATGTGTCCCCGGTGTTCCAGGGAACTCACCAAGTGTCAGAAAACACAACCCTCTCTATTTTCCTCCATACCCAAATCTCTAAAAAAGGGGCTGCAACGGATCTGATGCAGACTGATCCAGATTTGAACACTGTCCTGACGTCAGGACAGTGGCGCTACGGCTATTGCGCCAACTCCACCAATCAGGAGGAGACAGCCACGGCCATTGCCGTTCGAAAGCGCTGGAGACGCTGTAGTACATATGCCAGGCCTGTAGATGGTGCTGTTCTCACAGAATCAGCCCTTGCAAAAACAGAGCTAACATTTTTCAAATTGAGCGAAATGAGGCATGGCTAAAATGCATGATCTGTTTGGTATTTTGAAAAAAAAAAAAAGTATAAATATGCCTTATATAGGTATGGTCCTACACTATATTATTCAAATATAGCATGATAGGTCCACTTTAAGCTAGCTGCCGCTGCAGTCGTACTTTTTTCCCCGTGTACTGCTCTTTGAAGCCATTTTGAAGCGAATGTTAGTATATTAGCAAAGTCATTTATGAAGTGAAGCAATTTAGTTGTACAATTGAGGGGTTATGGGTGAATATATGAAAAGTAAGCAGGAGCGCCAGCACGTTACTTCTACTCCATACCGTCCCAAACCGGAAGTGTCGAAGAAATACCTTTTAAAATAATTATTTTTGTGTTCATGCTGCAGTTCACAGTTTGGACAGCGGAGGGAAACAACGTGCCCTGCAGCGTGCGAGCTACCCGGAAACAGAAAAAGACGAAGAAGGTGGATGTGGCGTAGTTGTGTTTACACTGTTAACACTCAGAGCATCCTTGGTTGAGTGATAGAGATAATAAAGCGGCAATAGAAGTATTTCTGTTTCACATTTACTGCAGAATTTGGGAGTAGCTGCTGTATTTCCATGGGGAGTCACGGGGGTGTGGGGAACGAGCCCGATACCATTGACTACTCTGTGCACGAAGCCTGGAATGAGGCCACCAATGTTTACCTGCTGGTGATCCTGGTCAGCTTCGGCCTGCTCATGTACGCCAGAAAGTAAGACAGTCTGCACCTGCTTTCAACTATTCCCTGTGTCGCTTGGTTTATAATATGTAGACGAACACTTCATTTGTATAGTTCAGTCAGACTGTTGTCCCTTCGGTTCTTATCTAAAATATTACATTTCAGGCCAGACTCGATTGAACATGTTCGTATTTTGATGTTTTCTTTTTTGCATGAACAGATAAATGGATTTTCTGGCATTGATTTAGCAGTATACGTATATATTTGTGTCATTTGGTTAATTCGGCATGCATAAAACCCTCCAAACTTGATGCATTATAATTTGAAGTCGATTTTTATCAGTGATTAGTTTAACATTAGATTAGTACTGTCAGAAATAAATGGTGATATTATGTGTAAGTCAGAGCAGTCTCCCTTCACGTCTTAAAGGTCCCATGTCATGGCCATTTCTACTGATCATAATTCCATTGTTGAGGTATACTAAAATAGATTTATATTGTGCAATTTTCCAAACTCGCATTGGTTTCTCATACAGCATCTCTGTATAGTATGTGTGTTCACTCACTGTCCTAAACGGCTTGTTGGAGCTACTGCCCCCCCTGTGAGCCCAGTGGCCGTCTGCGAGACAGCGAGACACAGCGAAACCCAGCCCAAAACACACACCCGCAGCCTGGCTGGGAGTTTGTGTGTGTGCTCAGGCTGAGTTCCGCGGTGTCTCGCTGTCTCGCCGACCCCACACCAGTGAGCCAGCTCACACTGTCCGCTCCTCACAGCAGCGAGCCTCGCAACGTCCTGCCGAGTGTGTGTGTGTGAGGAAGTCCACGGCAACGTCCTGCCGAGTGTGTGTGTGTGTGTGATAGGGATGCATATCGTTGACTTTTTTACGATACCGATACCGATACTCAACCGATACATATCGTGATACTTTCATGTTGCATAAGGGAAACATTTTATCATCCCGCAATTACTCCCATGAAGCGCTTTATTATATAGTTAACATGTCAAATGAATATTAAATTCAATTGTGGGACTTGGACCTTTCAGTACTGAACAAACAATGAAAAACACGTTATCTATGAAAAAAACTGATTCTGCAATATCATTTATAACAACCATCAGGCGGGAATAGTACATCTTGTCAATGGAAAAATAAAATAGCACCAGTATAATCAATATTCAACCTGAGATTCGACTGACCAGAGAACACATAAAGGATCATGAGATCTCGGCATTGCACATAAAACAAATAGCATCCTTAAAATCAACATTTGCCTGATGAAAGAAAACAAATCTCATCACAGTTCAGTTTTGTGCATTCATCTTCAAGAAGATGAGCATATCTGCTCTCTCTGGATCCAAACGGGCCCTTTCACAGCGTAGGATATCACCTGCTAAACTGAACACTCTCTCGCTTTGCACGCTGCTTCCCTGAACACAAAGGTACTTGGTAGCCATACGAGACAGCATTGGTTGGAGATTGGATGTGTTGCCACCTTTCCCAGAAATAAACTTCTTGCAGTGGTTACAGACCCCACCATTCAGACTGGCAGTGGTTACAGACCCCACCATTCAGACTGGCAGTGGTTACAGACCCCACCATTCAGACTGGCAGTGGTTACAGACCCCACCATTCAGACTGGCAGTGGTTACAGACCCCACCATTCAGACTGGCAGTGGTTACAGACCCCACCATTCAGACTGGCAGTCATATGCAGCCACACTTTAGATTTTCAAAAGTGACTTGGTTGCGGAGTTTCACTGCGAAATTGACATCGTAATTCCGACGGTTTGGGCACAAGTTTAAGGATATTATGCCTCACTTTTATAAAAAAAAAAAAAAAAAGTATTGAAAACCGGATCTGATTTCGGTACGGTATACCGTAGCCACCAGTAACCGGTATTTCGGTAATACCGGGAACCGGTATGCACCCCTAGTGTGTGAGGAAGTCCACGGATTGGTCCAAACGTAACGGCTCTGCGGTTACGTTACGTTACGTCACTATACCCGAAATACGTCACTATACCCAAGAAGTAAACAATGGAAAAAGAGAAATCTCCAACGAGGCGTTCTGGGGCAGCATAGACAGGTCTTTTCTGTGTTAGAGTTTTACTCGCTACAGGGTGTACTTTGAGGGTTTACATGCAGAAAAAGCTACATAACACACAAGGGGATGGGTAATAACCAGAAAAGCATGACATGGGACCTTTAAATTAAAATGTTAAAATGTACACCAGACTCCATTGAGCATTAGAAAATAAATGGTTTGATTATAAGTCACAGAGTGCTCCGTTTGCATCTTATATCTCAAAATATTAAAATGTACACCGTTGACCGTTTTGGTAATTTAATGTAATTCCTTGGTAACATTTAAATAAACTTGCATTATGTGACATAGCTTAGTAGCCTACTGCAAATATTTACTGCTGTCTTCTGGTGAATTCGGCTTTCATATAATTTTCCAAACATAATGTTTTTTAATTCAATTTCAACTTCTGTCAGAAAAGAAATAATGTTAATCTGGATAAGCATTATGCATTCTCATGCTTTCTCACTGACACTCAGAAACAAGAGGAAGATCATGCGTATCTTCGCCCTGCCTCCCACCGTTGGCAGCAGCCCGGAGCCAAACTTCTACGACAGCCTGCAGAAGGTCCGCCTGCGGCAGCAACTGGAGATGTACTCTCTGGGTAAGCATCAGGGTAGATCTGCAGGACAAAATCCATAACAGATAAGGATTTCAACCCATTTGTTATCGGTTCATGTGTCAATGCGGTCCTGTTAACACCCTATTACTGACTTTTCTGAGGTTTAATTGGATCATGTTGACATTTTGGTTTATCTGGAGGTTCATTTAAATGTTTTCTGTCTTGTCTTTTAGCTAGAAAATTCGATCAGCAGCAAGGCCAGACGGACAGTGTGCAGCTCTCCATGGAATGATATCAGGAAGAGACTCATCGCTTTCTGTCAGAGTAAACACTCCTGCGTCTGAGAGCCCTCGGGGGCATTAATAGGAAAGGATTTCGATGACTGACATGATCAGAGATGGCAGAAAAGCGGCTGCTACTGCCATTCTGATGGCTTCTGGTTTTCTCCTTGTCCTCAAGTGTCTTCGTTCCCCTTCTGTTGTCTCCTTTTCATGTGTTAGGCATTGAGAAGGCACATCTGGGTTTATGAAGAAGCAGCAGAGACTCTAACCTTGATTGAGGAATGATGAACCTGTAACTGAAGCAGATTTAATAAAGATACTTTCTGTATCGCATGAGATTTATAAAAAAAAATAAGGTTTCTTTTGCACATTAGAGATTATTTTAAACTAACATAGGTTGTAGTTGGTTTCCATTGTTTTTTGTTACTTTTATTAAATGTTTTGTATCAACTGAATAGTAAAGTAAACATTTTAAAATGTGAAAATAAAATGGCACACAAAATAAAAGCAGCTGAGTCAGCAAATGCTTTGATTAACACACTTGAGTTCACATTAAAGGAAAATGTGTTCTCTTATCATGATTATTTTTACTATGTAAGATTTTGGTTTAAAGTTAAAGGGTTATTCCTGTAGTAAGTAATGAAGCTTTTTGTGCATGTAAATGGTCTGCAAAGGCAAACATCCCTGTGTTCCCTCCAGAGGGAGTTTCTCTACCACAAGCCCCCCCCATCCCCGCCTGAAACACCTCCATTCGACTCCCTTTTTTACTTCCTTAACATAGTGACATCGCTATGAAACACTCACACACGCTTCTTTTGGCTAGCGCTCCAACAAATTGTACGTGATAGGCTTAGGGGCGGGGCATCTCTAACCGGTTGACCACAACAGAACCAGCCAGCTAACCAATCAGAGCAGACTGGACTCTGGTTTCAGGCAGAGGGTGAAAAGAGGTGCTGCAGCACAGGCAGTATGAGAACAATAAAGAGCTTTTTGAACATTAAAGCATGGAAACATGTCACAGTAGTGGCACTAAATACAAAGATGAACCTGAAAATGAGCATACTGTGTCCTCTTTAAGTACAGTGTCTCATGGCTCTACACTCAGTTAATTAATCACAACCATATCTGTGGATAATCTTGAATGACCAGATCATTATTTCTGGAAGGAGACATTGCGTTTTTCAAACAAAGTCTGCACTTTTGGCACCACAAGCAGATTTCCATCTAGTTCCATTATATTCAAGAAAGCATAGTGAAGCTCTCCAATTCCAATCAAGAAGGTTTTATTTAGACTGAAACATCTAGTAAGCTGCTGAGTCAGGAACACAAACAGGATTTGAAGCGTAATACAATGACCCTGGTGATGAAGTAAACAGGCATTTTCAACAGACCAGAAAAAGCGTCAAAAGAACTAAGAATGCTCTCTTATTTAAGTAAATTATTTTCCGTTTGGTTCTACATATTCAAACTAAACTTTTTGTTAGTTATGAATGAAAAATTCAGTATTTACAAATTAAGGCTTACACACAATCATTAACAGCTCATAGCTCAAACAGCGTTAACATGGCCGTTTTTGTATGCATCTCTATATATCATAGGATTACTAAAGCTTGGCACCCGCATTTTAAGAAGGAAAATATACAGAATGCTCCAGGCATGAAATAAAGTGTACAAAGCTAGTTCCCTTGTGCCTTGAGAAAACCATCAGAGCAATATACAAAATAACACGTCTTCAAATATAAAAAAATGCAACTATATACAAAAATTAGGCAGCAAGTTGCGAAATAAAATAAGAGTTCATTCCCGCGGTACAGCAAGAGGATTCTTCATAAAGTTCAAGCAGCAGGAGCAGGCGAGATGCTCTTTAAGATGCGATGTGCTTTATTAGAGGACACAGCGTCAGTGCCGGCAGACGTCCAGGTCGTCCACATAGAGAGAGCGGGCGTAGTCTGACAGCCAGTCTCTGAGGAACAGCTCCTCCGCCTGCGCCTGCAGCGTCTCCTGACCCTCCTTCACCTCGGAGCCCGTCTGGTTAACCACCAGGCCGACCCCCGCCGTCTGCGTGAAGTAGTCCTCCGACCAGTTAGAGGTGCCTGGGGACACAAACAGACACGTCAGTAAGCATGGCGGTCACAGGAACTACTAACACTTATTTGTTCCCAGCTTGGGTTCTGTAAAATAAATAAAATCATATTTAAAAGTATAATTTTTTGGGAGAGAAGCATTGAAAACAGGTTAAAATGAACCTACAATACTGGAAATACTTCAAAAATAAAAGTTAAATGACTTGGTATGAGTTAGGGTTTTTCTTTCTGAACCAAGGTTATAATAGTTTTTCATTTTAAATGACAGTTTTATACTTTTGTAATTTCTGTTTGTTTTAGTTTAGTTAAAATGTTCTAAGAAGGATTTCATTTTTATTCAACTAGTGTATGTTGTTTACTGTCTGTATCAGCATTCATTTTTATATTTCTAACTTTTAAGTTGAGTTTAAGACATTTTTTTTCACTGCTTGATTCCGTTTGCAACAATAACCCTGCTCTGATCCAAGCATCATGTTTTAGAAGCAAATTATATATTTATTTGAATGAAATATTGTCTGTGAAATAAGTTATTATTTTCATACAATTAAGGTGGAGTAGAAGTATAAAGTAACATTAAGTGAAACCACCTTAAACATCTTAAAACTACAGAAAAAAGAAAGAATTCACAGCATCTCCTATATACTATGCCATATTTCTCCTGTGAGCTTGACACAGTTGCTATCATTGTTTTAAGGGTGAGAGTACTAGTAAAAACACAGTAAGTGTTAACATCGTACCTATGTACACCACTCTGTCAGTAACCATGTACTTGGCGTGATTGACTCGTGCGAAGGGGATCTTCATCTGCTTCGCTGTAGAAGGCACTGTGAAGATTTTCTGCACGGAAACCAAACAGCAGAAGTTTAACATCACGTTCTGTTAAGGGCTGCGTCATTATGTAGGACAACTCAACTCACCACGTCAACGTTGCATTTGAGTGGGGGCCTGTTGAGCAGCAGCAGGGACTGCAGGAAGGGGAACATGGCGGAGGGGGAGTGCTTCCAGCAGCTGACCAGCAGGCGGACCTGCACGCCTCTGGTGCACGCCGCCGAGCGCAGCGCCGAGTCGATGGCCGGCCAATACCTGAGAGAGGGAGGACAACACACACTTTGATAAACACTGTCGATATCAAACAGTCTGTGGTGCTAGTGGGCTACACCCAAGGAGAGGAAATGGTCTCATTGTACCTGTATAATGACAATAAAGGATTCTATTCTATTCTATAATGCCTTTGAACTAGAAGGCATTATTTTTTTATTCAACCTTTATTTAACCAGATAAAAAGCATTGAGATAAAATCTCATTTACAATGCTGACCTGGCCAAGAAGGCAGCAACGTTACACATGTTTACACATAACACAGACATATAAAATACAGAGAACACAACTAAGTAAATAAAAAAAAACAAAAAGCAGTCACTACTACTAAATCAGCAGCTGAACATCATTTTACTCCCAGTAGCTGCTTCGTCAGCCAATCAGGGTCCAGTGTTGTGACTGTTGATTCATTAAATACTCTTAACTAATCTATTTACGAAGTTTCATGTATTGCATTCTTTGTTACTGTCATACCTGAATCTTTAATTAAGTAACTCAACATATAGAGTGGTGCAGTGATGTCTTTTTTAAAGGACGAACAGGAAGTTAGCATCGCAGGGGCTTCTTCGGCAAGAAGTCAATGGGAATTTTCCATTGGATTTTAGTTCATAGCAAAAAGAAATACTGTAAATCTGTGGCTAACACCACTTTTATAGAAGTTGAAGCCTAAATGCTAATGCTAGAAGTCAAAAGCTAACGTTAGGCTAAAAACAAACTACACAACAACACCACTAAGCTAAAGGCGGATAATGATTGGCCTGATGACGTTTAGTTGTCTCATTTAGCCACTTATTAGCAACCGTTTTTATGACACACAAAGACTTTGGACATTGACAGTGGAGTATTTACTAACTTATTTTATGTTATAGAACAAAACGTGAAACTTGATTAGGTGTCCACAAGTGTTAAAATGCTAACTCATTTTTGGGTTTTAGGACTCATTCCTGCACCAATTATTGAGATGGAGATTTACTAGATCTAGGAATCTATTGGTGTCCTGTCTGGGAATGTTGAGTTGAGGGTAACGTCACCTGAGTGGCTCTGAGAACTGGGACAGAGGAAGGTAGTCCATGACGGAGATGTGAATGAATGTGTGGGCATCGTCGATGACGGACAGGATGGTGGAGAGATCGTCTGAGCGGCCGCGCGCTGAGATCTGCGGGGGGGCGCTCTGCAGTAAACAGATAGAACAGAGCAGGTGAGAATCATTGGAGCAACCAGCGAGAGGACGGTCACTACTGGGGAAACAAAGACCCTTGTAACAAGTTTCACTGAATAAAGTCTGTGTATAACTGACTGCTGCTTATATTTACTCCGGCCTGTTTATTCGATAACTTAAGATCCGGATTGACAATATGTTTTGTTTCAATGTTATTATATAGTTCAAAATGATTCAAAAACTGAAAAAAAATTGTATTTATTTCCCATTCTGACAAATGGATGCTTAAAAAGGGGATACCACGACATACAGGCGAACAAAAAAAAAGCACCTTAACTTTGATTAAAATTACAGATTTGATTGGGTTTGAAAATTGTCGTCAACACGTTAGAATAAAACTCATCAAAAATGAAATGGGACATTAATTTGGGTATACAGTATTTTGCTCTATAAAAAACATATTAATCCTTGTAAATTAAACTAAAACCCAAAAGTATGATTTCAGTTTTTTCCCTCTCTTCAGGAGGCCTCTGAACTTACAGACAGGTAGACCTGAGCTGGCACGCCATTGAACATGAGGTGCAGGGGGTTCTGGGAGCTGGACAGGGCGGAGAAACGAGCGGGCCAGTAGGGCGGCAGGGAGCCGTTGTTCAACCCTCCGATGCTCCGGTACACCCCGAAGATCCTGAAGGCGTCCTGAGCCAGGCAGCTGCAGTCCTCCACCCACAGCCCCACCTCCTTCACCTGCCCAACAGGAAACAGTCACTCTGTCACTCACATACTACTGCTGTGGATGAACCTCAAACAAACACTAACATGTAGAATGAACAATAGTGTTGATAATCCAGATTATTTTACCAGCAACTACACTACTGTGATTTACCTGACTCAGAGAGCGCCAGTCCATGTTGGCGCTGCCCAGGTAGAAATGCTTCTGATCCACCACCAGCAGCTTGGTGTGGACGATGCCCCCGGTCACAGCCTTCAGGTCCACCTCTCTCACTTCTGCACCTGAACACAAAACAAACCATACACATGATCACTAATCCCTGCAGAAAAAAACGAATTATTCCTTTTAATTATTCTTTTTTTAACAACATGTTTGATGAGTTTTAAACCAGAAATCCAGTATAATATTTATTTATTAATGTTTTAATTTAATTGTATATTTTATTCGATCTTAATTAATATCTTATTTTAATATAAATGCATTTATTTTTGTATCTTTTCACTGCACCTTCTTACTCTCACTTCTTATGTTCATTTGAATAGTTTAATTCCATTTTATTTGATCTTCTATTTGACATTTTACTCTGATTCTGAATTAGATAAAGAAATAGTGTACATGTATACATTTTGCAAACAAAATGAAAGTGATTTAAAATAAATAGAATGATCCCCCATTACACAAATGGTGAAATCATTATATTAAAAAATGACAAAGTTATGACAAAGAACTGATGTGTCCTGTCCAGCTGTGGTTCATGGTGCAACACAATGATCTCCATGTTGTTGGGGGTGATGTACCTGTAGCAGCTAACTCTGCCGTATCCTTAGTGGAGGTCTGTGGGGCGTTGACGGCCACCTGAAGCTTCACACCTTTGGATTCAAGTTGTTTCAGTTTCTCAAACACCATTCTCCCCTGCAAAATATGTGGAAATGATGTTACACACATTAGAGGGTGAAATAAATACAGCAACATTCATTAGGGGCGTGGCGCTGAACCCACCTGAGAGTCAGTGGCGTCTGGGTCCTCGCTGCCTCGCAGGCTGAAGTAGAACGCAGCGATATCGACCGAGCTGTTAGCTTTGTCCAGCAGGTGCAGCCAGCTGTCTGCGATGCTCCGCCTGGACGGGGGGGAGTACGGGTAGAGACCCTCAGGGATGCTCTCAACCAGCCGCACCCTGAACACGGGGGAAAGAAATTGTCTTAAGCTAGTAGAGATGCTAAACTTTAAAGTTTGACAGGTTTATAATGATTTAGCTATGGCCCAAAGGTCAGCTTCCAAACAGCAAAATGGACAGTCATTGTGTACGGAAGCCCTGAGAGGCCAGTAGGAAAAACGTTATTGTGGTGATCCATTTTTTACTTGTGATCTAAATGGATTCCTCTGCTGTGTTTATGTCTGAATAACAGATTGATAAAAAACATGTTTGACAATAAAAACAAGTAGCATAAAAGAAGTTGGTCTACACCGAAATAATCTACAACTATTTTGACTATTGATTAATTTCCAAAGTAATGTTTTTGGGCAAAATTGACCCAAAAGGCTTTCTTAAATATGTAAACGTTTATGCTTTGTTTAATATCATTAAAGTATATATATTTCATTAGCTGCAGCCCTACTTTGAAACAAGTATGTGAACAATTTATTAAAAAAAAAGGATGATTTTTCGAATTTACTCTTTTGTCAGGTGATTTTTTTTGTTTTGTTTGTTAGCCTCCTTAATATGTTGCTGCTGTTATACTCTTTCAACTGTTCCTAAGTACTAAACAATTGAGATCATATTTGAAAAAATAAAATGGGTCTCCAAAATCTTTTCTCTCTCACTTGCCTCTCAAGGCTTCCGTAGAGTGGTGCATACATACGCAGATATCTTGGTAAATAAAAGGGGAACAATCACAAAGATTTCTCTTTTGGGATAAGTGTGTCTTGAGGTTTCAAAAGGATACATTTTACAAATTCAACACTACTTTTGTCAAAGTGGGTGGCTCATTTTCGGTGATAGACGAACAATTAGCCTGATTGTGTCTTACCGACAGTCAGTGCTGCAGGACTCTGGAACCAGCAAGCCCTCCATCCAGTGTAGCTCCATCTGAGCCGTGAGCTGGGCCACGGACAAGGGGAGCCCGTAGTGCCACACATGCTGACCCAGCCCCCCGACAAGCAGCAAGAGGGTGGGCAGGAAGCAGAAGAGGGCAAAACTGCAGCGTCCTGAGCTCTACAAAACAAGACGGGCAACATTGTGAATGTTACGTGCAAAGTTATGATCACAGCTTTTGTCACGAGACTGGAAAACAGCTGAGGGCTGCGTTGCATACCACAGCTGTTACTGCAGGGTGCGGTGAAATTCCGTTTTGTGTGACTAAGACCACCGAGACAACAGTGTGACTGATGCGAGAGGAATCTTTTCTACCCACCTTAGTCGACTTGGTAGATGCCGCAGGTTTCTCTGGTGCTGCAGGAGAGGTCGCTTCATCAACGTTGAAGCTTTTCTCTGTATGACCTAAAAACTCAGACTTGGTTATAAGAGGTTCATAATGTTCCTTCATTTCCACTTCATCATCATGGTCCTCTGACTTTTCCTCTGCTAAATCATCCTCACATTCAGCTTCTGATGAAGATTTACTGTCCTTGAATTCGAGCGGGTTCTTCAGTTGTATTTCCCACGGCGGTTGTTCGTCCATGATCGCCGCCACATCGCTGACCTTGGTTGTGTGAAGTTCGTCTTCAGACTGCTTGGTGTCTCCATAGGCAGTGAGGGTGATCCAGCTTTCAACCGCTACGTCATACTTTTCTTTAGTGTCTCCCAAAGGCTTTTGTCCAATGGGGCCCTGGTCTGGCAGCTGAGAATCGGGGGCATCTAGTACGTTATCGGCTCCTTTTTCAAGCGTTTGGCTCTGGTCTTCCTCTGGTAGATGTTGCTCCGAGCCTTGCTGCAGTCTGAGGGCAGGCCTGGGGCTCACAATCATGGAAGAGTATTGCCCAGACTCATAGAGACTCTTGGGAGTGGTAATAACAGGACTATGGGCAAATGTGGTGGAAGGTTCCGCTTCAAAGCTGATCTTGGGGGTCTGCACTGACGGTAAAGGGAGCGCTTTTTCTCTGATTTCGGTTAGCTTGGACTTCAAGGCCTCTGCGCCCCCGCTCCCAGATTTCTCCAGAGGCTGAGCTACGTGGACAGGGGGATCTTTTTTGGGAAGATGCAGCTCCGGGGTTGGGATTGCGCCGCTGGGTCGTTTTTGGAAAGTGGGGATCCGGGAGACGAGTTTCCCACCTTTTCGGTTCATGTCTTCTCTCTCTTCAAGCTCTCCACTTGCCTTGTCCTCAGCCCCAATACGATCTAGCACGACGCTACAATACTTCAATTCCTGTGGAAGACATCACTAAATTAGAAAAAACATCATGTGTGCAGCTAATTTGAAAAACTAACATCTACAACACCTCTTACACACAAGTGAAATGACTTTAAACCCATTTCGACACCCTAAGTAGCACTGAACATTCGAAACGGCTTTCTAAAAGCTAGCAGCTAAACAGTCATTTGCAAACTCCTTGTTATTGTTCAACAACAATACCATAACACTGTGTTACCTGCAGAGGCTCCGAAGCACTGTGATAGCCACTCCTATTCAAATGAGCTCTCCTGTCTGATGCACCACAGACTGTTTATCATTTCTACATATTTGTTTATGAATGACACATGGGTATCACCATGGCTACAACATATTTGAACTTTACATTCTGATGAACATTCAATTTGCTTTGAGTTTAATTCAATCATTTGTATACACTAATATCCAATGGCAACGTCCTTCCAAAGTAGATTCCAAAGTGATTGAAATTAGTTTTAGGGAATTAGGAAAATGTACACATATGTGTAGAAAAAACAAGAAAATAAAGGTTATTTAGTTCCTAAGAGGAAAATAAGAAGCATTTTAAAAATAACATACATATGAACTAGGGTTGGGCTATCAATAAAAAAGAATTAAAAAAAAAAGAATCATAACTTTAACAGGATACATTTCTGTAGCTGCTGCTTTCATTTTACAACTTTTGTAGTCCTTACATTAAATAATAATACTAATGCCTTTTAATTATATATTTTTGATTTCAGTCCCTTCCTCTCCAATGTTTGTATTTTGTACTTGTTTTTTTCTGGAATGCCACAGAAGACATTTTTACATGTCACGTTGTGAAACCCCAGGTGTAAATGATTAATGGTGGATTCCATTGAGTTCATGCTGGCTCGGTGTCACAGCTTAGAGCTGAGCCATTGTTAGTGTTATCAGTAACACCTGTGCTTTCCCTACTATGGCAACATGTCTGCAGATAAAGACCAACTCTTCTAGCCCAACGACGTATACAGGATTTGAGGCAAATATCAAAATATGCCAATAGTCATTCTTTTTTTTATTATCCTTCAGATTAGATTTTTATACGATCACCAAATGGGACATTTTTTTCAACTACTGAAAGAGCAATCAATGCAATTTAAACATTGGTTTTAGGTTACCTCAAACTAATTTTTGCTTTTATAAGTGTACTGAATAATCTGCCTGCCTGTTCACTGATACAGATATATCTGTAGTGCGTTAATATCATATATGTAATTTTAGCTCTTTATGATAACTACTCCTGAAAGTGTCTTTATAAAAATATACACTTAAAGCCTGACTGTTTTAATGACAGGCCGTGATTGTAAGAAACAGCATATTTGTTGGCATACAAGCAAAACATCTGGGTTTCTACACATTTTGGCAAATGGACATCCATTAATATTCTATGACTTTCTCATTACTTTAGCTACATTTTTAATGATAAATCAATCTGTGAAGTTATGATAAATATAGTGGTAGGTATAAATAAGTGTTTAAAAAATATATAATTTAAAACAGCTAGCAGTCAGACATTGACAATGTAACCAATATTTATACTTAAAGGAAAATATCGTGACGTACATATACTGTATTCCTGTTAAAATTTAAATTTAAAAAATGGCTGCAAAAGTGTAATTGTTTTTAAGTGTTATTCCAAACTGGAAATAACTCATTTCAAACTGAAATAAATTCAAATTTCAGGGATTCTTTAAATGTAAATGTATACAAAAATTAAGACAATAAACCCCAAAATAATTAACTGTACAAAATCATCTAGTCCATGTTTATCCATTGAGTATTTATTTCTTTGCCTTCTTTGTATTGTTTTGAAGGCTGACTTTGTATGTAGACGTTTTATCTACATTTTATTGGTGCTTAATATATATTTACCTTTTTGTTGACATATTAGTCATGTCTATATGGGTTCCCAAATAGCAAACACATAGGCTACATATATAAATGAACTTTGCTGCTGTACCGACGGCTAAATGAGATTAGGACACTTCCCCACTAGCCTGCCAATATATCCTGTTGAAGATTACATGCAGCTGCACACACTAGCTTTTCCGGCCTTTAGAAAACATCTAACAGCGAGAGGCGCGTTTGTTTGGGTTTTTTTGTGAGGTGAATTATAGACTACCGTTAGATGGGCTTCCTCAGCAGTTTCCTCCTCCAGCTCTGCAGGGGTACTTTGAAGTGTCTCCTCCATCCTTATGATCTGGACAGACTCAGAGTCTGACTCATCTGACTCCTGATGGGACAAGAAGACACATTACATTCACAGTAAACAAAAAGGAAGCAATGTTATAAAGCATATACACAATGGACAGAGGTGGAAGACGTTTTCATATCTTGTACTCGAGTAAAAGTAGAAGTACCAGAGTGTAGGAATACTCTGTTAAATGTAAAAGTCCTGCATTCAAAATGTTACTGAAGTAAAAGTTCAAAAGTATTAGCATCAAAATATACTTAAAGTACTCATTAAGCAGATTGGCCCATTTTCTCATAATATTATTTATATGTTTGATTATAATTATTGATCATTAAAGTGTTATCAAAGCTGGTAAAGGTGCAGCTAGTTTTAATGACTTTGTATACTGCAGGGTAGCTTGTGAATTTACTCCAGGTGGAACCAATTACATTTAATGTCTGATGTGTTGGTTATATATTTCACATCATTAACCCAAATCTGCAAAGTAACTTAAGTAAACGATTAACCTTCAAATTGTAGTGGGATAGAAGTACAAAGTATTATAATAATTACAGTACTAGTATCTTCAAAATGTACTTAAGTAGTGTACTTGAAAAGTAAAGTTACTTTACAGCACAGACAATGGAAAATGTAAAGAAATATGAAGCTGTTGTTTATCAATATTCAAGAGTAAGAAAGTAATATAAGGACCAACATTTCGTCATTTTCTTTAAATAAAACCACCGTCATCAGCATAGAGAAAACAACTCACCATGATGCAGTGATTTAAAGCAGGGCGCAGTGGTTCACACTCACGGTGCAGTTATTAGCTCCCGACAGTAATGCTAACCGGCTAAGCAAACATTACATACGTTAAAGTGTTAGAAGCAGTAAATGTACGTCACTTTAAGGTAGTCTTCTGTCTATATTCTCCTTCCTGTACTGTTTCTCTCGGGTTAGCTAACGCTGCAGCTGCAGTTGACGTTAGCGAGGAGCTACGTGGCTGAAGTGTTCAACAGCAGCAGCAGCAGCAGCAGCGGAGGAAGAAGAGGAGGCGGAAAAGCTGAGTAATAAAAAATACCCACCTCGTACGTAGTGCTCCCGTGCGGGCGGGCCGACTTTCTCCGAGTTACCGGGGCTGTGTCCTGGGACTCTTCCTCACTCTCCTCTTCCTCACTCACCTTAGTGGGGGCGAGGGATTTCCGTGCCCGCAGCACCATTGGCATCTTTGTTAATAATACAACACCTTCGTGACACGGGATTAACGGTAATGCGTCTGTTGAGAGCCCACTTTAGTAAATATAGAGGTATTGTAAATAAAAGTTGCATGGGACACCTTATAGTGCTAAATAAACATATTTATCAGTCACTTATAATCACTCTTACCGTTTAATGAGATATTAATGCCCCGTGCTTCTTGAGATAAGTAGTACACAACAACTTAAAGAAACCGCGATTTCCTGTCACTGCTGATTGGCGGTTGGGGGTTGGATTCAAAATACTGGCTCCACCCATCTGACGTCACGCAGAGCACACAACACGGAAGCGAGGGATTACCGTCGTCCGCTGCTGACCCTTCTCCCGTCAAAAAGGTCTGTTGTTTTTGTTAAATGAGTACTGACAGCCTATACATATGGTGTGTTTGTTTGGGATAAAGCAAAGAATAGTTGAGCGACGGTATGAAATAGTTGACATTCATTCTGACGTTAGTTAAGTTAGTTTCAGTTAGCTTAGCCGCTGTTGTCTAGCAGCCCAGGCGGAGCAGCAGGAGCAGTTATTTATCTTATTAAGAGATTTTTTCTCTGGGTAACTGAGTCTCAAAGGTCACTGAAAACTACACAGGGGACAGGACAATCTGTACATTATCAGGACATCCAATAGTGCCACAAATATGACATAACTAGAGTTTGAAATGTTGATAAATATGTCGAACATTAGAGAGAATCTTTGGGCTTTCTGTATCTGACATGTTAAATGAATGTTGATATAAAAGTGTATATATTCCTGTCCTGTAAGAGGTGAGATCAACAGCCACCATAATGTGACTGTTGTATTGTTATTTAAAAGGTGTTTAAATCAATGTACTGTGAAGGCTGACACGGCTGGAACAAATATGTATCATGGGATTGTTGTTACAAGTGTTGTGAACACTTCTAGTGTACTAAATAAGTATGATATTGAAAGTTACCCATACTACGATTTATATCAATATTGGAGAAAGGATTTATGTATATTGCAGAATCAGATATCATCATATTTGACTTAATTGTCAGATATGGATATTTGTTTTGTTGCAGTATTTTCTGAATGACTGCTGGTCCAGTAGAAGGGTTACATGATTGGGGCCTAAATGATAACCGGAATAATTTTGATCAATATCAAGATCACAATTATTTATCTTGATTGTTCATTGACTACGTTGATTTTAGGGAAACACAATTTTTACTGTACTTTAAATCAACATATTATTGCTTTCACTTCCATTATGTGCTTTCCAAATATTGTACAAGTCTTTGCATCAAAACAACACCAGTCCTTATTCACAGTGCATCCCTTATAAGGGAAATATCATTCAAATCATACTGAAGCTTTTGACCCAAAATCAATCAACAGAGCACTGCTTTCTTTTCATAATGTGCTACACCCCTGCCCAATCCATGCATCAAATAAGACTGAAATAAGGTTAACTTCACCTTAATTAAATGGCAATGTTGAAATAAATCACAATATTAGATATACATCATTTTATGACTATAGCACATTTTGGAAAATTATTTTCAATAAAAACAAAGTAAAAAAAAAAAAGTAGTAACAGTTAACACACATTAAAAGACCAAATAGCAAGGGAATACAATTGTCTTGTTTATGTTTGTATATCAATTTAGTTATGAATTGGTTATTTTTCGTGAGAATCATAAAGAAATACAGTGTAAATTGTGAAGTTATTCTCAAAAACTAAAACATTGCCCTCAAAATAATATGGCCTCATGTTGTATATCGTCCAATCATAGTGTTATCAAGTTCTCGTTTTCCCTCCGTCTGTCGCTCAGTGTTCTGCTCTTGCTGACCTCTGGGGATCTTCTTCCAGGTCTCCCATGTGCACCGATGTGTCTGACAGGGGAAGGTTTGCCACTTTTTCTGTGACGATGATGAACACTTAGTTAGTCCTATCAGTACTCCAATGGAAGCTCCAGTCACAGCTCCGCCCCCCTCTAACTCCTCCACCCAGCCCGCCCCCATCCCCCTGCGCCCGGCCGTGGCCCCGTCAGTGCAGCTGGGCTTCACCATCCTCTACACCTCTCTGTACGCCGGACTCTTCCTGGTGGTGTACGCCCAGCTGTGGCGCCTCTACCTGTACAGACACAAGAGATGGAGCTACCAGAGCGTCTTCCTGTTCCTCTGCCTGCTGTGGGCGGCCCTCCGCACCACCCTCTTCTCCTTCTACTTCTGTAACGCTCTGGAGGCCAACCACCTGCCTGCGGCCGCGTACTGGCTGCTCTACTGCTCCCCCGTCTGCCTGCAGTTCTTCACCCTCAGCCTCATCAACCTGTACTTCACTCAGGTAAGAAAAGCTACGATACACCAGGGAAACACTGATGGACTGGAACCTATAGAAAATAGTTGTAAAGCATTTTTAAAAGTACTGTTTTTGTTCAACCAGCAATCGAGAAAATTAAAGGTATTCACTTTATTGTGAAAAAAAAAAAAAGTTGTTTTTTTAAACTAGAATTGTTCTGATTAATAGATCCCAAAACATTTGTTCAAACACCAAATATGTCCCCGATTCTGTTTTGTAATTGTTTTAGCTCTTATTTAACGTCATTGTGAACTGAGTTTATTTTTCCTGTGGACTAATAGTTAGACCAAACAAGACCAAACTCTCTTAGCTCACAGAAATGTATAATACAATTGTAAAAATCATGGTTTGACACAACCATTACATTTTAAATACTTTTTATGATGAGTAAATAGGTGAAAGTAAAAGAGTTTCAAGGTCTAACATGCTAAGATAATTAATTTCTCTTACAGTATTGTGTGGGCCTTTTTCGGGGCGGGGTCAACATCATTTAAGTGGTGACACATGTAGATTTTCGAAATCACGGATGTTGACTCACATTTGTTTTTATTCCTTAGTGTGAAGGATTCGACTATCAGTATTTTGCTGACAGTGCCACTTCCTGTTTTATAAGAGTTTTTTACGTGTCCTAATCTCTCAAAACCGAGAGAAAACTGTACATAAACGATGTATGGCAGGTGGCATTGTAACAAATAGTTAACGTTGATTTTTTTTGTTTACTTATTGTTGCTTTTTTCTCTCTTGTACCACAGGTGTTACTCAAAGTGAGAGAGACTTACAGCTCAGACGTGGACAGAGGAATGTAAGTTTCCCCCTGCATTAGAAAGTCAAAAGCCCTTTTCCTTTCGAATACTAAATAAGTACTAATCTGTTCCCTGTCGTCCTCAGATGGCTGGCGCGCTGCATGTACGGTGCGATGAGCGCTCTCTTCTTCTGCGTGAACGTGGTCTGTGCGGCTCTCAGGGACGGGGGGGATGGAGGGTCTGGGGAGCGGACCTGGAATCTGGTCCTGGTTCGAGTCCTGGTCAACGACTCGCTCTTCATCCTGGACGCGGTGCTGCTGGCCGCTCTGCTGATGCTGCTGGCCCGCCACTCACACTCCACCAACCCCTACCTGATCAGCAAGGTGTGCTAACGGCATGCTTTGGAAAAGATACCGGATCCAAAAATGATTTCTGTTAGAAATTTAGAAAATGCTAGAATAGAAAGTTAAAGGGGCACTCCACTTGTTTTGATTGGTACAGGCAAATACACTATTGTACACAATATTGGAGAACTAATAACAACAAAATAGGTTCTCAAAATAAAAATAAGGGATGAGAAAAACAATGCAATGAGAGGTAAATTAAACATCTAAATTAGTTCATAATTCAATAAATAATATACAAAAATAATTTAACAAATCTTACAGAAAAATAAATCCGTAGGATGCTGCTTTTAAACACATTTGTACCAGTAAAAATACATTTATGAATTATATATTAAAACAATTCAAAGAAAGAAAAAAAAAATCATTTTTATTAATTAAAAAAATGTATAACACAGTACAATTTTAATCACTGGATGCCGCTTTTAAACATAATTATACTTTTTATGTTGAAATCAAAATTCCACATTAAGTACCACAAATAGGGTCCTACCTGGTGTGTTTCTCCCCCCCCAGGGCACCACGGTGTGTCGTACAGCTGCACTGGGAGCAGCGGTGATCTTATTGTTCTCCAGTCGAGCCTGCTACAACCTGACGGTGCTCATCCTGTCTCAGAGCCAGCGGGTGGAGTCCTTCAACTTCGACTGGTACAATGTCTCCGACCAGGTGAGCATCTAAACATTAGAGGCAGAGCCAGTACACAGTAATGTTTGTCAATGCTGTAAGAATGGCCTGCAAACACTGCTCGATGTGTGTGTGTGTGTGTGTGTAGGCTGACCTGCGCAGTGAGCTGGGCGACGCAGGCTACCTGGCCTTCGGTGCCATCCTCTTCATCTGGGAGCTGCTCCCCACCGGCCTCCTCATCCTCATCCTCAGAGTGCGCCGGCCCGCTCAAGAGGTAGAGAGCACATCGGACAGAAACTGAACTTTATGTCAACTAAATAAAGACATTTCCGTGCTGAAGCGTTGTAAATGATCTCAATATGTGTTTTTTTCTGTTTTCACAGAGCAGCAGCATGGCCGTCAACAACAGGGTCTTACCTCGACCGTATTTCTTTGACGACCCTCAAGGTAGCGACGAGGATGCTCCGATGCCATGGGCACGCACCTCCCACCCACACGCAAGGTACTGTCAACACACAGGTAGAGGTAGAAGTCAATATACAGAGAGTTATACCTACCTATATCTCTACTTTTGATATGTACGTTATGAATTAAATGTATGCCTACCATTCAGAATTTAAATCCTTTAGAGTCTTCTAAATCTAAATGCTAGGGTGATTTTATTTTTTCCAGTCATGTGTATGTCAGTGATAAGCATCAACATGTTTTGATGCTGCTGCTTTTTAGGAAAAGACCATGCCTCATAGGGCAAACATGAGAAAATAGTAGTAACTACATTTCTGAATCCAGGGCTAACTAAGGTACTGCTATTTTCAAAAGCTAAAAAGACACCAGAGACCACTTTGGATATTGTTACTGCGCAAGGAAAAGTACTTGAAGTGGTTGCCTGTTATAAATACCTTGGTATCTGGCTTGATGATTGCCTCTCTTTTAAACTTAGGTCAATAATCTGCTTAGAAAGCTGAGGGTGAAGCTAGGTTTCTTTTTCAAAACAAGTCCTGTTTCTCGCTTGAGGCCAGGAAAAGGCTCT